GATGTTACTAACCGTTGTGAAGAATGGCGGAAAGGCCAAGGACGAGTCGACATCAACCAGTTTGCGCCCGACCGCGACTGAATTCCAGCCTAGATCAGCCAGGTAGGTTTGCCTAGAGGACGCATTTCAGGGGTAAAACTAACATTTGTTCGTAGAACCGCGGCAGAGCAGGAAGACGGCGAAGTCAAGGACGGCGAGGTCAAAGACAGCAAAGATGTTGAATCCCGATCAGCAGCACCCTCGGCGCCAGCCACGCTTACTCAAAAGGATCCCAACTTGCCTCCCAAGCCCTCGGCCTCGCAGCCGGACACAGCAAAAGGAGGCTTCCCGCGTGGCGACATCGGGTCCACCACTTCGAGCAAGCCGCCAACACCAAAGCCGGCGAATGCAACGCCCTTACCGAACAATATGAACCACCGAGATGTGCCTAGATCGACTCCTACACCCACGGGACCAGACAGAAGTGCGCACAACCTGCCCAAGCGACCAGACGTTCCTATCCCTGGCCATTACGGTCGTACTCTTTTCACTCCTGACGCTTTGCCAGACCGGGTCCGAGAACCGAGAGATGCACGAGAGCCTCGCGGTCCCAGGGATACAAGAGAGCCTCGAGATACCAGAGATCATAGGGACCCACGCGAGCCCTCGAGAGAACCTAGATTCGCCGAGCCATCACGTCCCGACCGCAGTAGAGACTTTTCTGGACAAGACAGGAGAGGACCAGATGCTCCCCCTAGAGAACCTGGTCGCCTTTCCGAGAAAGATTGGCCTTCGAGACCGGACTCGCTGCCCGCTCGTCGCGATCACGGGCCCCATGAGCGCGAAGGTCGTCCCTCCCGAGATAGAGTGCCTCCAACAAATGGACGTGTGTCTGAATCGGGAAGACTGTCTAGAGAACCTGCTGTCGCCACCCCGCCATCTCAACCTACGCAGAAGCCAGCGGAGGATCCTCCTGTCAACCCTGCTCGTCTGGCCTTGATCCAAGGAGACCAGCCTGGTAGGTCTAGCCGCTCAGACCGCCCGCCTAGATCATCAGACACAGACCGGAGGAGCGGCCGGGGACCGCGCACCCAGGAGACCCAAAGCCACGAGCAGCGGGCTTCTGACCAGCGTGCCCCCGAGCCTGACCGTGCCGAATTGATCAACCCTGAACGTGCTGCTCTGATCGGTGAGCCACGATCCGAAGCGCCAGCCAGGCCGACAAGGGATGAGCCTAGAGACCGAAATGCACAACGAGGTCATTCGCCCAGGAGAAGCGGCCGATTCAATCAAGAGGCACCGGCAGAGCCTGCGAGGGATGACAGACATGGCCGTTCTCATCACTCGGATCATCGATCCTCTGGGAGAGAGACGCATGTAGAGCCTCCTGCCTACAACCCTAGAACAGAACGGATAGGCGACAGGGACGGTGACCGGTCTGGCCAAGACAAGAGCAGAGACGCATTCTTGGGTCCTGGTCGAAATTCTGAACCTGATCACAGCCGCACTACACACCAGGACCAGAATTACGGTCGTCTGAACCCAATCCAGTCGGTAGTTGCCCCGAACGAGGTTCCACTGGGACCCCGGGGTCGTGGCCGAGCTGCCGCCCGAGGTGGATCCGCAGGTATCCCGAACTCACGATCTGATGGTCGCTTCCCGAATGCAGACAGCCCGGCGGCGCCCGAAGAACGGCATCCACCAACAGGTCCGGCCTCAGGCAGGGGACGTCGTAATCAGTACGAGTCTAATCCGCCCGTCAACTCTCCGTCTGCCATGACACCGACCCCAGCAGCACACCCCGATCGCGCACGTGCTATTAACTCGGGCCCGGCAGGCTCACCCACTCCAGCCTCGGGGGGTCCTGCCTTGGCTCCTGGTATTCACCCTGATCGACTGGCACAGATTGCTCCACCACCGCCTCCGCCTCCTGGACAGCCACAAAGTCACGGTCACTCTCGGCCGCCTCTGCCCCCTATTAACACACCAGACCGCCCGTCAGGAGGTCAAGGTAGCAACAACCGGACACCGACAGGCAATTTCCCAGCACCTACCGACGGGGTGCCGTCAGGACCGGCATCGAATGATCGAGGTCGCAGCGGCGGCAGTCGTAGACAGCTTGCGGGTATCAATAGCACTTTGCAGCAAGCACAAGCCAACATGCCTGAAACCAACAGAGGCACTAGTATCCGAGGGCGTGGTGTTGCCAGAGGTAGTATCGCTGGCTCCGATGCTCAGGTTCTGACAGGCGCATCACCGGTGTCTACGCCGGTCCAAGAACGCCCGAACCCTGTAGGACAAGAAAGAGCCCAAACAAACGGCGAGGATCATCCACAAACCGAACATGATCGCAGCCGTCGCGAGCATCGTTCAGAGCGTGGCCGGCACTCAAGGCGTAGCAGTCGCGAACGAGAACGCAGTCCTGGTCGCGAAAGGGAAGGCAAGGAGCCCCGTGAGCACAGGGAAAGAAGATCCGGGGCTCAAAATCAGTCTTCCACTGGTCGAGACGAACGCGAACCCCGGCGTTCTGGTCGAGAGCCGTCCGGCAGCACTAGGGAGTCGCATACGAACCCTGCCCACGGCAGTAGCCGGGAGAACACAGGAAGCAGTCGCGAAACTCGCCATCGGACCGATCGTGGAGATGGTGGACGTGGAGATGCAGCGACGGGGCCAAGGAACGAAGAGTGGACGGGAAACCCGCGGGGCGCGCCCAGAGGAGGACCTCGCGAGGGAGGTCTAAGACCGAACGATGACCGACGCGAAGATCGAGGCCGAAAGCGTCGAAGCGAAGATGCAGCAGGCTTTCCCAACGACCGAGAAAAGAGGCAGAGACGCTAGGAGCGGGAGCTGATCTTCTGAAGGAATGAAGGCAAGCGAAGTCAACCCTAGGGGGTGAGCGACGAGAGAAAGTTATGTTGTACGGAAGATGCTATGGGTCTACACACGACAATTCGCATAGAATGGACAAGAGAAGAGCCGCATCCCCCGACGAAAGAAGAAACATTCATTACCACTATTTTACAATTGCTTCTATTATTTACAAGTACTGCATTGGAGGATTTCGGTTGCACGACCGCAGTGGTCCAAAGGAAGGGAGACCAAAGTCAATATCAGATACACACACACACTCACACAAAACAATCCACTCTGTATCAAAACCAAACACAACATTGTTCAGAAGAAAAGGAACATCATCGACATTGTACCAAGGCGAAACACCGGGTGGCTGGCTATGCCAGTCTCGGTAAGCCCGCCGCAGCGGCACTTTAGACATGATGCGGCACACAGCCAGCACACATTATGATTTATACCCTCGACACCGAAGCATCTGCTTTTCTATGATACCCCTTCGATGTCTCTTTCCTATATGCTACACGGCCCCCCAAGTAGACGAAAGGGGGGCCCGATGCCGACATCAGACGGCAAACCGTGGTATCCCCATCGCGTACCTCATGTACGCACTGGGAGAAGTGTATATCAGCCCTTTTCGGGCATTGTTAACAGAATCAAAGGGCAGGAAAAAAGGCACTGGGGAATGGGAAGGGGAAAATATTGCATGGCTGTGTGAGCTGTAATATCAGAGCGAATAATAGCATTTTTCAGGTTCATCGGCGGCGTTTGGGGTGGTGACGAGAGGAGGAGGGCTTTAGCATCATAGCATGTTCACGGACTCAGTCGGTCTGAGCTCAAGACCTTTGGTAGACGTGCCCCAATTTTGATCATCTCAATGGGAATGAACTCGACTTGCAATTGTGATTCATACTGCCATCGGCTGCCGTTTGAGGATGATGCAGTCACTCAGTCGTCTTGTGTGATGGCGTTGGAGGGTGTCTCTGCCGCCCCCCTTTACCTCTGCACTTTGAGAAATTGGAGACTTGAAGTTGACATGCATTCTCGGTCGTTGGACTATGCACATATTTCAGATAGCGCTTCCTACAAGGGACTACGCTGGTTCGTGACAATCAAGGCCCCAAAAGAAAGGCGCCGCTTATTCAGTCCAGATTCCGAGCTGTCGATCACCCCACAATTTGTAAGAAGGCTGGCCGGGGCGCGTGGGCGCCGAGATGGATGGAGTAGTACAATACGGATAGAGCATCTGAACACCCAGGAAGAGGTTCAACTGGTTCTGCCCCGGATTTCAAAGACTGTAGCGGCAAATAAGGGCTGACAGTCAGGTTGAGTAGAGTTCTAAGCCCTGTTATCTAGGAACAAGGTTAAAGGGGGTTATCAACGCTGGGGAAATCGTTCGTCGGATCAAGCGAAGAGATTCACGTATTCCGACTTCGAGAAGCTTGAGCTGCCCACCCCGGAGATTGGGGAGGGTTGCTTGGGGGCTTGAGCTTCTCATCCTTGAGTCAGGTTTTTGCTTGACATGACACTGACGGCCTGTCGATCACCCTGTAGTCAAAAATAAAACCGGCGAGTTTAGCTGATTGAGGCTGACTGGGTGACTGGTACTGAGTTGGTGCGAGCGCGGGTTTGCATGAGTCTCTAGTGTCTGATTGGCTGGGTTGGCAAACATACTGCCCATAGTTCTGGAAAGCTCTGGGGACGCCGAACAACTGTAATATAGTAGGACCAAATTTCACCACTGACAATCATTCATGCGTTCGTCTGAAGCCTTACCTCTATGTCCTCTAGAGTCCACACTGCACGTGCCTCATGACCTACCTAATCTCGAGTTTATCGTGCTGTGGATAGGCTATGGAGCACTGGAACTTGAGAAGCGATTGCAAAGGAGTTGCTCGACATCGCAGGCCGCCATCCAGGTGGCATCGAGGGAGTTGATCTTGGAGTTCTGCTGCTAAGATGATTTTTCTCAAGGAATTCCTTCCTTAGTACAAATAGCTGCCGAACCTTTTGAAAGTATTTAGCGTCTCTACTGCTTCTGCCGTACGAGTACGGAGTAGAGTACTGACACGAGGTGTTCTGGCAGGCTTTGGTACGTGCACCCGCACCGCCTCGCCGCCATGATCGGTGTAATTTACAGATTGATCTACACTTTTCTTCAGTGTCCGTGAGTCTTGGCGCCAAGCGACCACACTCTTCATCTCTCGGTTTACTCCGAGCGAAGTTCCTTTTCATCAACATCGTATAGGTTCTGTATTATTATAAATGAATAGCCTGCCAGTATGTGAATAAAGAAATCTTGAAGAGTCTCACCATCCAAACCACCGTCCAGTCTTTACCAACGGCAATCCAGTCCTTACCTTCAACTTCAAAAAAGACCACCACTCTCTTTAAAAACACATCGCAACCATGCAGATCACTCAGCTCTTCTCCGCCGCTGTGCTCATGGCTTCCGCCGTCGTCGCCAACCCCACCCCGATGCTCGAGGCCCACGGAACTGGTCTGGAGCGCCGCGTGCCCAAGACCTCCGGTGCCGCCTGCATCAAGGCCCCGGTGAGCAACGACAAGGACTTCTCCTACTACACCTTCACCATCGATGAAGGTGTCAAGGCTGCCGCCGCGCAGGCCGGTCTTACCAAAATTGGTGTCCGCCAGCACTGCAACTCCAACGGTGGTCCCTTTGGAAGTAAGTTTGATTCTCGTCCTACATCCTTACGCAACCCCGGGCCGGATGCACCTGTGTAATGAACCAAAGTCTCTAACAAAACCTCCCTAACAGTGTGGGCGCAAAACACCGAGAACTGGGCCTACGTTGCCCTGGACAAGTTCGGCCCCAACCAGAAGTACAACGTCAAGGTCAACCGCTGCAAGAAGGACTTTGACCGCCACGTCTGGAGCTACAGCGTCTGGCTTTGCAACAACAACAACTGGTGCGGCACCACCAACTGCGGTTTGGACCGTGAGATTTGCCCCGAGCAGAAGACTAAGGCGGTCAACCTCAACGACCCCCTCAAGTGGACTTGCTCTGCTTAAGTACATGTAGGGGTTGGGGTGCTGCGGCTAGATGGGATACACATATAGATACTCAGATACCGGTCTTTGACACCTTTAGCACAAATTTTGGAGTCAGGAAAGCGTTGAATTGATACATTTCAAATATCATGACTCCAATCAAGCTTTTTAAGTGTCCTCTCTTTGATATGTATTGACCATCCGTGGTCATATATTAAGAGTCCAGCCCACGTAAGTCCACGTTAGGGGGGTTTTAATATATAGAATCTAAACTAAGGAGTAGAGGTTTTTAGAGCGGAGGTTCTACGGAGGTTCTATAAAAGAAAAGTGTTTAAATAGGACCTCTATAGAAGCGGTGTAGTAAGCTATAATAATATCCGGGCTAAGGCTCGGATTTATTAATTGGGTTTAGTTTATAATACGTACCCCCTTATTTTGCTTTTAAAACGAATCCGTTACCGGTCCGTTTTTTAATTATAAATACCCCGGGTAGTTAACTATTTTATTTTAACCCGCCGGCTAGCCGCCCGTAATCCTTTTTATTAATTTTTATTAAGCCCCCCCCCTTTATAAAAAGCTTTCTCTTTTTAACCTTTATATAACGATTTATAAATATTTTAATCTATTTATTTTTACGCTTTTATTATTTAAATTTTATTAATTTATTATAAAAATCTAATTTTTAATAAGCCCGCCGTCCCTACTGTCGTTTTTTATATATATAATCTCCTTTTTATATTTATATACCCGCGCGTATTTAAAAACCCTTTTTTAACCTAGGAAATAGTTAAATAAATATTTTATATACCGCCGCTATTATATTTTTTATATACTATTATTCCGCGGCTTTTTAACTTTTTATTTATTATTAACGCTTTAATAATTCGTTTTTATTAACTAACCCGCCGCTACCGCTATATTTACCGAGCCCGTTGCCCCGTTTAATAATAAAAGTAATATAAATAATAAAAAATTAAAGTTTAGTTTTAACTCTAAACTATCGTCTATCTACTTCTCTAAAAATAAATCGGACGTTTAAATAATATATTAAACTTACATAGCGTATCCGTTCTCTATTTATAAAGTCCGTTAACTTTATATTTAGCCGACGTTTAATAAAAAAAGTAAAAAAAAAAAAAAAAAAAAAAAAAAA